TCCTTATGGTACAGCCTGGGAAAGAGTGGTATAACTTTTGGTTGATAGTGAGTGGTGCACCCAGAGTTCTTGCAGTAACAAAGAATGCCTTCCCCATGCGCAGCACCAATTACTTCAGTCTTCAGCAACGTAAGCAACTCCCCAGAACTCCCACAAACTCAAACAGAGTTTATTAATGTTGTTCTAAGTTGTTAATGATCCAATAAATGGAACTAATTTGAGGGGTGGGGGACTTCATGCTGCTGAATGCATGTTGGATGATAAATGTTTACCAGAGTACTAATTGGAATGACAAGATCTAAAATGGCAGCATAAGACTGTTTGAGGGGTTTGCAAAGGAAATATGATTGATGTGGTGCCATGAGTTCCAAAAGGTGCTTGATAAAGTACAACATAAAAGGCTTGTCAGCCAAATTGCAGCAATGAAACAAAGGAGACAGTAGCAGCATGAATGCAGAATTGGCTAAGTGATAGCAAACAATTAATAGTGAATTGCTGTTTTTCTAACTGGAAAAAGGAATATAGTGGGATTTCTAAAGGTGGCTCTTAGGACAACTGCTTTTCATGATATATACATTAATGGCCTGGATTGAGATGTGCAAGGCACAATTTCAAAATTTGTGGACAATACAAAACTTTAAATTATTATGAATTATGGGGAAGATATTGATAGACTTCCAGGGGTGAAAGGCTGGTGGAATAAGCAGACATGCATGAGATTATGTCTTATGCAGAGAATTGTGAAACAATACATTTTGGCAGGTAGAAAGAACTAGGAGAAGAAATGGTAAATAGATGATCATTCTAAAGGAGATCCAGGAGTCTAAGTAACAGGGGAAATAAGACAGCAGGTTGAGAAAACAGTTACCAGGATCCTAGGTTTTACAGAAGCAAAGAATACAAAAGCGTGGAAGTTATGGTTAACATTTATACAACACTGGTTCAGCCTCAACTGCGGTATTTCTTTCAATTTTAATTAATATGTTTTAGAAAGGAGGTAAAATCATTAACAATGGTGCAGAAAAGATGCACTTGCAGCGTTCCAAAGTTGAGAGACATCAATGGAGAGGTTGGAAAGGATGGGGTTGCCCTCTAGTAAGAAGACAAAGATGAGAGGAGATTTAATAGTGGTGTCCAAAATCATAAAAGTGACTCAGACAGGGTAGCTAGGGAGCAACTGTTCCCATTGGTAGAAGAGTGGAAAGAACCAGACAACACAACATTAAAGTGAATAGGGATTAAAAAAAAGGACTAGAGGACAAATCTTTGGAAGCAGTGAATGGTTAAGATATAGAATGTTCCACTGACAGTGTGATGGAGGCAGATTCAATCATGGCTCTCAAGAAGGAATTTGATAATTACCTGAAGATGAAAATTTGCAAGGTTAGGTGAAAAGGCAGGGAGTGATCTCAGTTGAGCTGGTCCTGCAGAGGGTGGCTGAGACACGGCAGACCAAATGGCATCCTTCTAATCTGTAACCTAGAAAAATCAATTGGCAGATAGCTGAATTCCATAGAGAAAGAAAAGCTGGGTAAGGTCGATTGGAATGATACATTGGTGGGAACATCTGTAACTGAACAGTGGGCTACCTTCAAAGAGGAGATAGTTCAGGTACAGCTGAGGTATATCGCCTCAATTAGAAAATACAGGGCAAATAAATCTAGAGATATCAAAGGAGATAAAAGAAGAAGGTTAAGAAGAAAATGTGTGTCAGGTAGAAAATATAATTGAGAACCCAACAGGAGTACAGAAGTCCAGAGCAGGGGATGAAAAAGCGAATAAAGATATCCCAAATTCTTCTATTGACAAATAAATAGGAAAAGAATGCTAAAAAGAGAAGTAAGGTTGATTACAGGCCAGAAAGGGGATTTACTCAAAGAGGTGGTAGATATGGCTGAGATGTTAAATGAATACTTTGTAACTGTCTTAATCAAAAGAGGAAGACATTATACAATCCATGTGGATGGTGGCAGAAACTCTCGCACAGAAGGGTTCAAAATTGATAAGGAAGAAGTGCTTGATAGATTATTGATACTTAAAGTTGACACGGCACCAGAACAGAAAAAGATGCATCTAAGGATTATGAAGGAAGTGAGTCAGTTAGGTTAGATTCTGGACAGTTGGCTTGTGATGCAGAGTGAAATCAACAGTGGAGGTTCAATTCCCATACCGATGAGGTCACCATGAAGTTCCTGTCTTCTCAACTTTGACCCTCATCTCAGGTTCAAGAAAGGCTTGATGAGTTTAATGTTGTTGATACAGCATACATGGATTCTAGAAGGCATTTGATATGGTGCCACATAACAGACACATGAGGAAAGTTATAGGTCATGGAGTAAAAGCAACATGGAGTAACAGAAAACAGAATAGTAGTCAATGAATTTTTTTACAGGCTGAAGGAAGGTTTGTAATGAAAATTCCTAGGAGTTGCTGATAGGACCCTTGCTGTTCCTGAAATATATTAATGATCTAGATCTTGGTGTGTGGGACAATTTCAAAGATTACAGTTGACACAAAGCGCAGAACTGTAAATTGTGAGGAGGGCAGTTAGAACTCCAAAAGAACATAAACAAGTTGATGAAGTGGGCAAATGGATGGGAGATGGTGTTCAATGCAGAGAAGTGTGAGGTGATCCATTTTGGTCAAAGAACATTAGAAGACAATATGAAATAAGGGGTTAGAATTGAATCAGAGATAGTAGGAACTGCAGATGCTGGAGAATCTGAGACAACATTTCTGATGAAGGGTCTAGGCCCGAAATGTCAGCCTTTCTGCTCCTATGATGCTGCTTGACCTGCTGTGTTCATCCAGCTCTGCACCTTGTTGTCATGAAATAAGGGGTACAGGAGCATAGGGACCCGGTGGATACGTTCATAAATCACTGAAGGTGACAGAAAAGGATGAGACACCAATTAATAAAACATATCATATCCTCGGCTTTATTAATGGGTATATGGGGTACAAGGGCAAGGAGGTAATGTTGAATAAAACACAAAACGGTTGATACTGAAAATCTGAAACAAAAACAAAGTGCTGGAGAAGACACCAGGTCTAGCAGCACCTCTGGAAGAAAAGCAGTATTAACATTTTGAGTCCAGTGCCCCTTGTATAAGATACTTGTTAGAGCTCAACTGGAGTATTGTGGACAGTTATGGGCACGACATTATAGGAAGGGTGTGAACACATTGGAGAGAATGCAGAGCGATTTGCAAGAATAGCTCCAGAATGAGAAATTTCAGTTCTGAGGATAGACTGAAGATGTTTGGGCTGTTCTCCTTGGACAAAAGAGGGCTTAGAGGAGATTGAGTCAAAAAATGCAGAGCTGGAAAAGCACAGCAGGTCAGACAGCATCTGAGGAGCAGAAAAGTCAATGTTCCGCTCCACCTTTCCCACCGACCAGCCACAATAACACCCTACCTGCATCCATCTGTCTCCATCTCACCTACCCTCACTTCAGCCCCACCCCCCTCCCACTATTTACTTTTGGGTTTCCCTCCCCCTCCCCCTCCCCCTCACCAATCCTGAAGAAGGGTTCCGACCCAAAATGTTGACTTTTCTGCTCCTCAGATACTGTCTAACCTGCTGTGCTTTTCCAGCTCCACTTTTTGACTCTAACTTCGAGCATCTGAAGTCCTTACTGTCTCCAAGTTAGCAGATATTGATAGCTCCTCATGATTTTGAAAACCTGTATGATAGAATGAATAGGGAGAAACTGTTCCCATTTGTAAAAGATCAAGAACCAGACAGCATAGATTTAAAATGATTTGCAAAAAAAGAAAAAGTGATGTTAGAAAAAAACTCTCTCAGAGTGAGGTAGTTAGGTAATGGAACACTGACTGGAGCTCTGGTAAAGGCAGATTTAACTAATGTTTTCAATAGGGCATTGGATGATTCTTTGGATATAAATCAAGAGTGACAGTACAGGAATAAAGTAGGAAATTGGCAGTAAATAATGATGCTCATTTGAAGAGTCGGTGCAGAAATGATGGGTTGCATGGCCTCCTTCTGTGCCATATAACTTCTGCAATTCTGTTCTAAATACTGAAACACTAGATGCTAATTGATGTCACAATCAGCCTTCTGCATACTTCCAAAAGATGATCAACATGCCCATGCTAACAGTATCATCATAGGTCGTCCCAGAAATGGGTGGAAGTAATGCAGATGTTATTCTGCAACTGAACCAGCGCTGGTAATGTTAAAAGTACTGGTGCTGTGGAGGCAAATTTTGAGGCCTAAATACATGATGGAATTTTCAAACAATTCTATGTGCTTTTAAAATTATTCTATGAAACGCTCTATGTATTTAATACGTACTTCTAAAGTTCCATAAAATGACCTAAGTATTCCACAAGAAGGTTCAACAATATGCTGTTCACATATTCGAACAGCAGTTCAAATAATTCTGTTTTTAAACTTTAAGAGAGTCAAGACCAAGTTTGAGATTTTTTACTAAAAAAGTTCAAACTAACACATGGAAAATTCTAAGTTTGCATACCATATTTTTGAATATTTTCAATGTTGCAGTGTTAGCACAATTCTTGCAAGTAACAGCAATAAAAGACATTCTGGCAGTAAAAGGCCTGTATTCTGAAAAAGTGATCTAAAACCAATAATTTTAGGTCATACATAATTGTGAATGATAGAGTGAGCATTAGGGTCAAGACACTTCATTGATTTATAAAGTAGGTGCTTTGAAGACACACTGTACAACAGCTACCATTGTTCTAACATTAAGCCTAAGTTTAAATGGCAATGTGCTATTCTGTGCCTGAGCCTCAAAAGAAAATATGTTCCAGTTTTATTTTTATCCTCAAGATTGATCATAACATTTGCTGCCAATTCCAGCACAGGTTAAGAGTTTTGCTACAAAGTTGAGCCAGGCATTTAAACCGACATTTCATGCAATTTCTAAACTACATTCAGGTAAATGTAGGTGATAGATTCTGTGGATCAAATATTTCATATTCAACTAAATCATTAAATCAAAGAATTACTACCTTTGTGCCGAGCACCGTAGCAAAGTGTTGTGCAACTTTAACCCAGAGTTTCTCACTGATTTGAAGGTCATGAACCAGTTTGAGATTCTGCTCCTCAATCACCTACAAAGAGAACAATGAATAAAGAAAGTTTCAGGATTCCACCAAGATCTAACATTCCAATTACAAATCTGTTGGTTGGTCCAGTCATCTATAATGGAGGTGTTTTGCACATTAGATGTTAAAAACACTTCTAAATATTGTTCAGTATAGAGACTTTCACCTGATACACCTTAGTTGGTCCAAAGCAATTTTCTCAATAAACTGGGCCCTCTCCTGATTCCATGGCATTAAGTGATAAAATTCTGTGTTTAAAACTGGAAAGTTGGATTTTGCTGCACTATTTTAATTCTTATATTTGTCATACAGACCAAATTAAAATAGCTTAATTTAAAAAATAGGAATTTCTTTAACTATTTATCTCTGTCTTACTTCATTTACTTGCATTCCAAAGCATTTCAAAACATTTCAAGTGACAGATGAGTCCAAGTCATCTCTGCAATATGAGTTTTGAATTAAATCGTGATTTTGCCGGAGGTTATTTGGATAAAGCAATTGAGAAACTGTAGGGACATAAAGACAATGAAACTTATTTTCTGCAGTATGCAAAATAGATTACACAAAATCGGCAGCCTCTTTTGTTCATCGATGTGGGCATTGTTGGCCGTGTTGGAAGTTATTGCCCATACCTAACTGCCCTAGAGAAGATGATGGTGAGCTACTTCCTGAACCACTGCAGTTTTTAAGGTGTGGAGACACACATAGTGCTGTTAGGAAATGATTTCCAGGACTTTGACCCAATGACTATAAAAGCACAGTGATACAGTTCCAAGACAGGATGTGTGTACATCGCAAGGGAACACAGAAACTAAGAGCAAGAGGAGGCTACTCGATCCTGAACATACAGTCAGATGCTGTCTTAATATCAAGGGCAGTTAATCACACCGCACCTCTGAAGTCCAGCTCTTTTGTTCATGTTTAAACCAAAGCTGTGACAAGGTCAAATGCTAAGTTGTCTTGACAGAACCTAAACTGAACACTGGTGAGCAGATTATTCCTTTGCAAGTGGCTCTGGACAGTGCTGTCAATGAGCCTTTACATCAATTAGCTGATGATCGAGTTTAGACTCATGAATTTGTCTTATTTTGTATGGAGAGGATCTTCTGTACTAGTACAATTTAGCTAGGGGAGTATAGTCTTCAGCACTATTGTTGGAATGTTATCTGGGCTTATCACATTTTCAGTATTGAGTGCCTTTAGCCATTTCTGGATATCACATAAATTGAATTGGCTAAAGACTAGGATCTGTGATGCTGGGGTGCTCAGAAAAAGCCAAGATGGATCATCCAATCCTAAATTTCTGGTTGAAGATTACTGCAAATGTTTCAGCCTTGGTTTTCAACAGATATGCTAGACTCCAACGATATTGAGCATCGGACACTTGTGAAGCCTGCGCCTCGTTAGTTGCTTAATTGTCCACCACCACTTATGGCTGGTTATGGCAGAACTGCAGAACTTTGATTTAATCCATTGGCATTGTGGATTTTTTTAGCCTTACCTATTATTTGCTGATTCTGCTATTTGGCATGGTGGTAATCCTATGTTGTAGTTTCACTAGGATTACAGCTGATTATGCTATGCTTTGTGCTGCTCCTGGCATGCCTCCCTGCACGTTTCTGAAGAAAGTCTTTGGATTAGAAACATTAATTCTGTTGCTCTCTCCAAAGACACTGCCAGACCTTCCGAGTTTCTCTATTTTCTGTTTTTAAATCAGGGTTGATCTATAGCTTGATGGTGCAGCCGCAAAGCTTCATGTTTTGAGTTGTTACTTCTGTTCAAAGTCTGACCCATTTCACATGATAGCAATTCTACGCAACACAGTGGAGCATATCTTCAATGTGTACACAGGACTATGTCTCCGCACCGAGTGTGCAGTTGTCATTCCTACTGATACAGTCATGGACAGACCGATCGTGGCAAGCAGACTGGTAAGTATGAAATCAATTAAGTTTTTCACTCTTGTTGGATTTTTCACTACCTGCTGCTGACCTACTTTGCCAGCTGTATCCTTTTAGACCAGCTTCGTCAGTAACAGCGTTGCAGAGCCACCATTCATGATGGCTTTGAAGTCCTCCATCCAGAATGCACTTTGTGCCCTTGACGTCGTCAGTGCTTCTTCCTGATTGTGTTTCAACATGAGGTGGTACAGATAAATCCGCTAAGGATTGGGAGCATGGGAGGTGGTCATTAGGAAAAGACATACCCAGGGATGATGACACTGATTCTGGGACACCAGCCCAATTTCTTTCCTTTTTGCTTTGAACAAGATAAAAAGAATTGCTTTCTGACCATCGCATGAATGAATTACAGAATAATCAAATGTATTCAACAATGTATCTTGACTAAATTGAGCATGATAATCATATAGTGTTGCTGAAAAGAGATTATGAGATTCACGAGACTGAATGCAAGATTATTTTTAAACTTTGCAGAATCCCCAGATGTGTGTGCAGTGTTTGAATGGATTAACTCGTCAAGGAACCACATGACTTATGTGGACAATGGCTCATTAATTGGAATGTGCAAGAATGTATACCATCCAGATAGGCAGCTAAATAAATGATCAAAATGTACAAATAGGTATACTGATTAAGATGAATGGCAGGGTGAGGGACAGGGGAGGGTGAAGGATGCAAATTAGTTACTGCAGGCAAAGTTTAACATACAAAAATGCAGTGTGATTTACCTTCAGTGCCAGGCTATAGGCTGCTTCACTCCACCAATCCTTCTCCTGGGTCAATGAATTTACTTGGGAAATTAATCTTTTTCTCTGCAATTCATACAACTGGTGATATTCATCCAGCATACTGTGGATACAAAAACAATTTATTTCTCTCGCTTGTAATCAAACAAAACTTTGGTTGCGAGTAGCAAATATCAGCCAATCTAGTGAACACGCAATGTATGTGATAAGTTTTACAAAGTGCCTGCTGACCCCAACGGTGTGGTGATAAATTCTGATAGCACGTGCTCAACTCCTTTATTTCCTCAGGCTGTGTTTACACATGCACATTTCAAAGTTGATTCTTAACTTTTTTTAAAAAAAACTAAGTCTAACAGGTTTTCACTTCTCCAATATGCGTTTTAAAGTATTTTTACATTTTTTTTTAAGGTTTCTAAAACTCTTTACTTCAATTTAAATCAGAGATGTCACTGCTACGATGCATACTCCTGGGTGTAAGCAGACACAGTCTGAATTTTACCATTGTTGGTCAAATAAAAAATTATGGCAACAGGTTTATCTTAGGGAAGGGCAAACTACAGAACACAACTGACACTGCACAAAAGCCTTTAGTTTGTTTATGACCTCTAGAAATATGGCACATAAGTAGATATATTAAGTAGAATTTATGATGATATGAACCACTCCACATGGCTCCATCTTGTCACTATGACTTCTCTATGAATAGGAAAATGGCAATGTGTGAAGGCATTGACCTCCACAGCCAAATTATGTCTCCATGGCAATGAGTTACAAGAGTGTTGTCCTGCCTTAATTGGCTGCTGGGAAGCAATTCTCAGAATAGTGTGAACATATGGCTTCCTTCAAACTCAGATGATGTTAAGAATCTGTGTCTGTTCTGGAATTTGAGTTGGGGTAGAACTTCTTCACCCAGTTGCCATTTGCTTCCCTCTTATGTCATCCAATTGGCAGCCCACTCATTCCTCACTGTACAGGTTCATCATTCTAGTAGTAGCACTTCATTTTGGTCCCATCTTCTGAGCTATCGCCGAACTGACAGCCTTGCTTCTTCAAGACATAGCTTTTAGTCAGCTTTACAGGTCCTGACACAACTAAATACCCACTAGGCCATCAATAAGATCTTGCCTCAACTGAATTTGCAAGACCTTGCTTGCAAGACCAGGGATACCTTCTCTCACAATGAGTTATATGCAGAGGCAGGCACTTATGCTATCAGACTACACTTAGGCAATTAAATATCAGCTATCCAACCTACATGGGAATGCTGATGGGCTCTCTAGCTTACCTTTGCCAAATAACTTGACAACAAACAATTCTTCTGCAGACATTTTCCACTTTAAAGAACGAAAGCACACGACAAGTTAAGAAGTACTCTACAAATCATCCACTACTATCAAAAGGGGCTGGACATGATACTTTGTGGCAAGATCACAGGAATAACCACAGAACTGAAACCATATGTCACACAAAAGCTAGAACTATCCATAGCAGCAGGGTCTCTCTTTTGAGGAATAAATATCATTATTCCACCACAGCTAAGGAAATAGGTGTTAAATCAACTACACGAAGGTCACTGCGGCAATGTCAGAATGGAGATAGCCAGAAGCTATTTTTGGCAGCCAGGGCTCAACTCCAAAATTCAGGAGAAGGCTGGAATATGTGCAGCTTGCAAACAAACTCACAACCTACCTCCATTAGTACCATTACACCCACAGTAATGGCCAGAAAGGCCATCAAAGAATCCATATTGACTACATCGGACCTTCTGGAGGACATATAATATTCATAATGATTGATACACGTATCAAATTGTCTGAAGTTGCCATCATGAAGACAACATCTTCAGAGAAAAACATGGAAAGACTGGGGGAGATCTTTGCAAGGTTTGGTTGTTAGGACAACTTGTTAGTGATAACGGTCCACAGTTTATTTCACAAGAGTTTGCAGACTATCTAAGGCAGAATGGAATTCAACATATCTGATCTGCTCCTTATCACTGAGCTACAAATGAATGAATGCTTTGAATGAATGATTTATGAATGAATGATTTATTGTCATGCATTTTACAGTGAAATATAATAAAATACAGTGAAAACTTTTTATTTGTTGTCATTATTCTGCACCATTTTGATTGTTTAAGAATAAGCGAAAATGAAAAGATATAACTTAAAGAGAAGTCTGTCTACAGTCTGGCTCAGAACCACCATTGCCTTGCCAGATCCAACTGACATCAAAGTCACCGATCTTCAAGTGCCATCTTTCACTGCCGGACTTGTTCACCTTCATCACCGCCCGTGCTGGGCACACCAACATCAGAGACTATCACTGCAGTCAATGTTGCCATGGTGCCCTCCTGCCACCGCTGGCCCCAGTCAATGACGAAGTCGCTGATCCTCAGGTTCATGTATTGCCGCAGGATGCACTGGTAGTAATATTCCAAGAATCGTTAGATTCTGGAAAAAATCTCAGAAGATTGTAGAAGAGCCAATATAACACCCTTATTCAAAAGGAGAGGAGATTTAAAAAAAAACTGTATGCCAGTTAGCTTAACATCTGACATTGGGGAAAAGTTGTTATCTATTAAAAAGGTTGTAATCGCAGATCATTTGGAAATGCATAATGTAATCAAGTAGAGTCAGTATAGCTTCATGGGGAGAAATCAGGCCTGACAGACCGATTCAAATTCTTTAAGCAGATAACAAGCAACTTCGATAAAGGGAAACCAATGGATGTAATGTATTTGAATTTCTAAAAGGTGTTTGAGAAGGTACCACTAAAAGGCTACTTACTAAGATAACAGCTCATGGTGTTGGGGACAGTATATTAGAATATTTAGAGGACTAGCGAGCTAATAGAGGACAAATTATTGGGAAAAAGGGATAGCTACAGGGTGACAACCCATGGAGTGCCGTAGGGAACAGTGTTGAGGCTAAAATTATTTATGATATATGTGTTAATAACTTGGATGACATAAGTGAGTGTAGTATCAGATAACAAAAATAAGTGGAAAGGCATTATTGGCTAAAGGTGGTTGCAAATACTTCAGTCTTGCCTTTTGGACTGACATGTTAAGCTCCCACATTCGAAAATGCAAATCTTTGTGGAGATTATTCCTCTCGTTAGTGTCCTCACCTCTCACTTTTTAATGTTGAAATAGACCATCTTGAAACTAACATCATGTTTAGCCTACAGCTAAATTTTAAACATCACATCCTTTCAATCATTATGACAATTTACTTCCAATTCTATAACAATGCATGCCTCGAATCTATTGCACTGAAACCTTAAAGCATATTCTGTTCCCATGGTCTCAACTGGTCAAAACTCTTCCTTGGTAGAGCTCAGTCTCAATTTCACACAATTCATAGTCTTCTTTGTTAATCTGCCACTTATCCAAGTATGTGTTTCAGAACACTGCAGACTCACTTGGCGTTTTTCTGGGCATCAAACAATGCATCATTTAGATCAGTCTGAGTTTTCTCTACGGTCTTTGCCACCTTGTGGTCACGTTCTCGAAGTTCACCAAGTTCACTGGAAACAAGACACAGATACGGCATAGTTCACATGATCTATGATAAAGGAGCTAATTACATTTGGAAAGTATTTTGTCGGCACACCTATGTTTAGTGTAAACTCTAGCAATTTAAAAACTCCATGATTCCTAAAATATGTTGCTCATTTTCAAAGCTGTGAACTAAAAATGACTTGGATGTACTACATAATAGTTTACAGTAAAAGTTTTAATTATCCAATGTGATGCAAGTACCAAATGATTCTCACCTTTTGTCCTATGTGCTGAATTAGCTGAGATTTTAGATGAGTTGTCAAGGAGGTTAAAAAGGAGCTAACAGTCAATTACCTCGAGGAAAATAGCCTATACTTGCACCCACAGTTGATTTCTGATGAAAACACAGAATGTGCGGATCTCACAGAATAGGATTTCAAACAGATTGGGTGCTTGACATACAGCCTGCTACATTCTACATTCCATCAATTGCAATGCAAAATTGCGTTGTTTACTATGGTGATCCAATACAGTACAGGTTATTTCTCACCCGGTGGTCAAAGTTGAAATCTATCTCTTCAATGTGCCTCCCCCACCCTCTCAATATCCAAGCACATAATCGAAAATGCTTAGCTGGCTGAAGTACAGTGGGGTTATAACTGGACACTAATGTAAGTCACAATGGGAATGCATAAGAGGTAATGTCACAATACTAGCCCATTACTCCCCATCGTATATTTTATCAGGCATAAAGACTAAATTTGAATGTTTCAAGGGAGGAACTATCTGATCACAGAAAATTAATAGTGATGATTACTGATATGTTGGTACATGTGGGAAGTTTAGTTTACATCTTCCAAGACACCAATCTTTGGCAATATGGTATCATTCCATTAATACTAAGGAATATGGGAAGAAATTAAGTACTATTACCAACACTAAAGAAGTAGTATTAGACAACTAATGAGGCTAAAGGCAAATAAGTTCACTGGCCCTGTTGACTTGCATCCGAGGATGCAAAAAGAGATAGCTACAGACATAGTGATGTATTATTTGTAATTTTCCAAAAATCCCATGGATTCTGAAGAAGTACCAGAGGATTGGAAAATTGCCATTGTGACTCTCCTATTCAAAAAGGAAGGGAGACAAACAAAACGGGTACATATAGGCCAATTAGCCTCACACCTATTGTCGGAAAAATACTGGAATCAATTATTAAGTAATAGCAGAACATTTTGAAAATCATAACCTAATCAAACAGAGTCAGCATGGCTTCATGAAAGGGAAATGGTGTTTGACTAAGTTAGGAAGTCTCAACAGGAGTGGATATCAGGAAACCAGTAGATGTGTTATATTTGCACTTCCAAAAGGCATTCAACAAGATCCCTCATAAAGGGTTAAGTCATAAGATAAGAGTCCATGGTATTGGAGGCAATCCATATTGGCATAGACTGAAAATTGACTAAATGAGTAGGAAACAGCGTGTGGGGCTAAGTGGTTCTTTTTCAGGTTGCTGACCCATAATTAATGGGGTACCACAGGGGTCAGTGCTGGAACAAGAATTGCTTACAACATATATTAATAACTTAGAGTCATAGAGATCTACAGCATGGAAACAGATCCTGCAGTCCAACTTGTCCATGCTGACCAGCTATGCTATATAAATCGAGTCCTATTTGCCAGCGTTTGGCCCACGTCCCTTTAAACCCTTCCTATTCATATACCCATGCAGATGCCTTTTAAATTGTACCAGCCTCCACCACTTCACTGGCTCATTCCATACATGCACCATGCTCTGCATGACAAAGTTGCCCCTTAAGTTCCTTTTAAATCTCTCCCCTCTCACCTTAAACCAATGCCCTCTAGTTTTTGATGCCCCCACCCCGGGGAAAGGACCTTGTCTATTTATCCTATCAATGCTCCTCATGATTTTATAAACCTCTATAAGGCCACCCCTCAGCCTCCAATGCTCCAGGGAAAATAGCCCCAGTCTATTGAGCCTCTCCCTATAGCTCAAACCCTCTGACCCTGGCAACATCCTTGTCAATCTTTTCTGAACCCTTTCTTGAAGGAATGAAGCAAAGGTACTGTAGCTAAATTTGCAGGTGACACAAAAATGGTTGGAAAGGTAGGTTGCAAGAGGGCTACAAACAGTTTAGAGTTATTGATAGGTTAAGTAAGTGGGGAAAAAATTGGCATGTGGACTATAATGTGGGAAAATGTGAAGTTGTTCATCTTGGAAGGAAAAACAATGGAACAGACTATTACTTAAATGGAGAAAACTACAGAAACACAGAAAGCTACCACAGAGGTGCAGCAAGTAATCAGGAAGGTTAATGGAATATTAACCCTTATTTCAATGGGTTGTACTATGAGATTAGGAAAGTATTACTGCAACTATACATGATGCTGGTGAAACCACATCTGAAAAACTGAGATCAGTTTTGGTCTCCCTATTTAAGGGAATATGGCATTTCATTGAACAAAGAACAAAGTACAAAGAAAATTACAGCACAGGAACAGGCCCTTCGGCCCTCCAAACCTGCGCCGATCCAGATCCTCTATCTAAACCTGTTGTCTATTTTCCAAGGATCTGTATCCCTCTGCTCCCTGCCCATTCATGTATCTGTCTAGATACATCTTAAATGACGCTATCGTGCCCACCTCTACCGGCAACGCGTTCCAGGCACCCACCACCCGCTGCGTAAAGAACTTTCCATACATGTCTCCCTTAAACTTTTCCCCTCTCACCTTGAAATCGTGACCCCTAGTAATTGAATCCTCCACTCTGGGAAAAAGCTTCTTGCTATCCACCTTGTCTATACCTCTCATGATTTTGTAGACCTCAATCAGGTACCCCCTCAACCTCCGTCTTTCTAATGTAAATAATCCTAATCTACTCAACCTCTCTTCATAGCTAGCACCCTCCATACCAGGCAACATCCTGGTGAACCTCCTCTGCACCCTCTCCAAAGCATCCACATCCTTTCGGTAATGTGGTGACCAGAACTGTATGCAGTATTCCAAATGTGGTCAAACCAAAGTCCTATACAACTGTAACATGACCTGCCAACTCTTGTACTCAATACCCTGTCCGATGAATGAAAGCATGCCATATGCCTTCTTGACCACTCTATCCACCTGCGTTGCCGCCTTCAGGGTACAATGGACCTGAACACCCAGATCTCTCTGTGTATCAATTTTCCCCAGGGCTTTTCCATTTACCGTATAGTTCGCTCTTGAATTGGATCTTCCAAAATGCATCACCTCGCATTTGCCTGGATTGAACTCCATCTGCCATTTCTCCGCCCAACTCGCCAATCTATCTATATTCTGCCGCATTCTCCGACAGTCCCCTTCACTATCTGCTACTCCACCAATCTCAGTGTCATCTGCAAACTTGCTAATCAGACCATCTATACCTTCCTCCAGATCATTTATTTATATCACAAACAACAGTGGTCCCAACACAGATCCCTGTGGAACACCACTGGTCACAGTTCTCCATTTTGAGAAACTCCCTTCCACTACAACTCTGTCTCCTGTTGCCCAGCCAGTTCACTATCCATCTAGCTAGTACACCCTGGACCCCATGCGACTTCACTTTCTCCATCAGCCTACCATGGGGAACCTTATCAAACGCCTTACTGAAGTCCATGTATATGACATCTACAGCCCTTCTTTCATCTATCAACTTTGTCACTTCCTCAAAGTGTAGGTAGGTCAGAGAAGGTTCACTAGGATGATCCCTGGTATGGAGGGTTTGTCTTATGAGCAGAGGCTAAACAGGTTGAGACTCTACTCACTGGAGTTTAGAATAATGAGACGTGATCCCACTGAAATGTACAGGAATTTTAAAGGCTTGACAGGGTAAATGCTGAGGAGGTTGCTCCTCATTGGAGAATCTAGGGCGAGAGAGCATAGTCTCAGAATAAAGGGGTGCCAATTTAAAACTGAGCTGAGGCGGAATTTCTTCTCTCCGAGTTGAAAGTCTCTGGAACTCCTTGGCACAGAGTCTTTGTGCATATTTAAGGCTGAGATTGAGTCCTGATCTGTTGGGGAATCAAAAGTTGCATGCTAAGTGTAGGAAAGCTTTTGTGAGGATTGTCAGATTACTCATGATCCTATTGAATAGCACATCAAGCTCGAGGGATTGAATGGCATAACCTGTTCCTATTTCTACAGTCTTAGGTCTTTATGATCGAATACATCTGGTTTACAACATGGTCAGAACTCAACGATCTTTGAGGTTTCAAAGGCCTCTACTGATTTCTATTGGACTCAAGCATCTCGTTCCTTAAATTTCCTTCATGGACTATCAAAACTCAGTGTAGTGAGGACTGTTGGGACATCCATAACAAAGGATTCACAATTACAATCTAATCTACTAATAATATAAAGAGGTGAAAGGTTACTCAGGGGATGGTGGGAATTGGAAACAATCTGATCAGCCATTATCTTACTGAATGCAGAACAGGTATGAGGAGCCAAGTGGCCTACTTCTGCTCCTTATTCATATCTGCAGGTTTATCGGAAGATAGCTGGCAGTTGATTAGCAGCCATGTTATCTTCTAAGTAATAAGTGGCAGGTTCTTTAATCATTAGGAGGCTTCACAACCAAATCCAACCTTGTCCAAACCCCTGCCAAAATCCACAGACATACATCTTCTAGCAGAAAATAACAGATGTGGACTATGTGTGTAAAACGCTTCCCCCAGCCCCAACCCTTCCCCAACAATCCTAAAGTCACTACTGTTATACTAGCTGAAAACAGCCAACTCATCACAAAGCGAGAATTCAAAATTGGATACTCCTGCTCTGAATGACTCACTACTAACAAATAAAATTGCTAAACCATCAAATGAAACATATCCATTTGCTTTATTCAGCAGTATTCTTGAGTTTCTGTTCAAATTCAAAATTACTTAATTTGCCAACTCTTCCTGGCATTCTGTTAGAAACAGAGTTTTCATTTGGCTCCATGATTAAAAATAATTACCTGTTAAGTTTTTCAACAGCATTCTGGAAGGCAAACAGCTCCACAATAAGTTGCTTGTCCAATACTCGCTGCATCATAATTTCGTTATGCATGTTATTCAAATGGCGAGGAATATAATCCAATAAATTTACATATCTCTCTCTGGGACAAAATAAAATATAACATTCTTTAAAGTGAAACATCAATCAAAATGAGTACATATGATTTTCATAACTTAGTCTCTCCCTAGTTCAATTCATTTTCTTTTGTTTTTCGATTTTTATTCATCCCTCTCTCTCACATTGGTGCAAACTGAGACTACTGCATGTCATTACCAGTCAAGTAAGTGAATGTGTGTTTTGTGTCTGGGTTTCTGCCAATTCAGTTAACATTCATCCCTCTACTTTGTGTGCAACCATACCCTCAAGCAATTCCTCCCCAGCTTACTTTCCTTCATCAGGGTTATCAACTCACATTAACTTGGCACAATGGCACATTAGTAAATATGAAGTGATAAAGATTAAAAGAACAGTGTGAGTGTGGCAGAAGTTGGAGCTTTGGGGAACATTTAACACAGTATAAGTTTTGACTGAAAATGTTCTTATAAAGCTCCATGGGATGTGATTTTATCTCAAAAGATGCTGTGTCATAGCAGGATGTGTTGTAACCATTTTCAACTCTGGCCTTTTACACATTCCCAATTTTATCATTCCACTACTAGTCGCCGTACATTCAGCTGGCAATGCTCTTAACTCTGGAATTCCCTCCCTCAACCTCTCCATCTCTCTTTGCTCATTTAAAACTATCATTAAAACCTATGTCTTTGATGATCGTACTGAGCATCTGCCTGAACATCTCCTTGTGTTGGACTGGCATTAAGTTTTGTTTGGTAAGGCTTCTGTGGCATGTCTTGGGACATTTTACTCCTTAAACACACTGTATAATGGGAGTTGTTGTTCATGACTTCAGAATCCACCTGGATGGACAAGGCCAGCAGATCCATGGATATACCATCATCTGCAAGTTCCTCTCCAAGCCACAAACTATTCTGACCCAAACAATATCACCAGTCCTGCTCTGTTGCTGGGTCAAAGTCCTGGAACATCCTCTTTAACAGCACTGAGCATCTCTACATTCCAAGAACTACAGCGATTCAAGATTTTAGATCACCACCACCTCTCAAATTAGGGATTAAGGATGGTTTAACATTTCAACTGTCAGCTCCCTGATGGTGCAGAACTCTTTCAGTACTATATTCTAAATTTTGTGCTCAGGTTTCTGCATTGTGCTTGAATCTCTGAATTTTAGGCAATACAAATGGAGGCAAAACTGATCTCCCAAGTCCAAGTTATTAGCATTTAACAAAAACAGCAGCAGTCAGAATTAATACAAACCCATGGTGAATACCATTGTATTCTTTCCTCCAGTCTATAAGCAATTATTCACCACTACTATCTACTTTCTGTCCCTTACTTCAATCTCTTGTCCACTCTGCCACTGCTCGCGTGACTTTAATTAGATTGAGACACTTAATTGCTTTGGTTTCAAGAAGATAAGTAGAAGGATTTATTTTAGATATACATACACATTTATTATATGTAAGTCTTCACCTCTTCGTCTTTGTATAAGTAATGGTTTATTAATAAATGTGGAATGACAGCTGATGTTACCTATCCTTTCACAATGGAAAGAAATGCACATCTGAGTCGTAAATTATGTATTTCTACTGTGTCGTATCTTTTACTATTACTTTAAAGAAAATAGCAAGTTCAACTTATACATGAAATAGTAGCTCTTTGATTACAACTATAACCTGGCTGCATTTTCATCATATATTACCAATAATGTAACAGGGTTACAAAAGCAAAATTGAGCTCAAGTGCATATTTTTGCTTGTTTCTTACAACTCACAAATAACATAAGCAAAGCATCATTAATATACATTATTTACTACATGCTGAGCAATAGCAAGGCTATAAAATTAAGGAAATGATAATGAGTAGGATACAGTAATCTTCTGATCATCAAACTCCTACAGCAAAGACAGACCTGATTTTGGCAAGAAGTTCTCCTCGCTCTGCACAATCCACGCTGATTTGACGAATAAGCTCATGGAATACAATGTTATAAATATCTTGTTCCTTTTTCACTAGGTCTAGCAAATGATGCATCTGTGCAAATGGATACCACAACAAAATAATTCACAAACTGACTTAAAATAAGATGGTGAATATGCAAATCTGTTCAGTTAGTAAATATTACAAACACCTTTAGTGATCCAGCCACAAAGCCGCCACAAATCTAGTCCGAACTACAAAGGTTTATGAAAAGCAACAGAATATAGATGTTTTCATTTTCAGTAACTTAGTTGAAGGCCCATAATGCAAGAGTGGACAGAAAACCAAGTAAATCAAAAGTAATTATTGGTATATGTGAAATACCAGTCAGAAAGGAAAGCTGAGGTGCTAATTGGTGGTCTCCTGCCAAATCTCTACTTATACCCATCTAGAGCCAATGACAGAATCATGCAGTAGAAACATTTCTGGATGCTTTCTAAAAAGCTAAAGCTCCATCATTAAAAAAAGCACAGGATTCAGGACTAAAACGTAAGTGTCAACAGTGTAGCTAAGGTCAGAGGTCAGACTTTTGGACATCCCTGTGGTGCAACTAAAGCAAGATGTTACCACACTGTAGTCCTTTTGAAAATTAAATATCAATATCCTTTATAGTATTGGAAATCACAGTATAAAAAAAAGATAATCCCGCTCTTTAAGTTTACACAAACAGGGCAAATTTCACATTCCCAGTAAGGGAATGTTGCTCAAAAGGATCACAAGTCTGATATAGGGCTGATTCTCTGATCTGCACTCATAGCTCCAGCTTGGTGCATAAGACTGCAAAATAAAGCCTGTTACTATCACAATTAATAAAATCTGTATCACTAATATCGAGGAAAAGAAAACAACAAAAGCCTCAAACGAGATAACAAGGTGTAGAGCTGGATGAACACAGCAGGCCAGGCAGCATCACAGGAGCAGGAAAGCTGACGTTTCAGGTCTGGACCCTTCTTCAGAA